TTTTTAAAAATTTTTTCAATTTTAATCTTTACTTTTGGCTGCATTGCGTCTTCATTGCTGCACGCAGGCTTTCTCTAGTTGTGCCACTTGGGAGCTACTCTTCATTGTGGTTCACAGGCTTCTCATTGCAGTGGCTTCTCTTGTTGCAGATCACGGGCTCTAGGTGCACGAGCTTCAGTAGTTGCAGCACGTGGGCTCAGTAGTTGTGGCACACGGGCCCTGGAGCATGCAGGCTTCAGTAGTTGCAGCACGTGCACTCAGTAGTTGCAGCACGTGGGCTCTAGAGTGCATGGGCTTCAGTAGTTGTGGCACATAAGCTTAGTTACTCCACGGCATGTGGGATCTTCCTGGACCAGGGATCGAACCAATGTCCCCTTCATTGGCAGGCAGATTCTTAACCACTGTGCCACCAGGAAAGTCCCTCAAGGTATTTTTTTTCTTTTGACTTCTTTGACCCATTGATTGTTCAGTAGTATCTTGTTTAATCTCTACATATTTTTGCATTTTCCAGTTTTCTTCGTGTAACTGATTTCTAGTTTTATACTGCTGTGGTCAGAAGAGATGCTTGATATGACTTCTCCTAAATTTATTAAGACTTGTTTAGTGGCCTAACATATGATTTATCCTGGAGAATGTTCCATGTGTACTTGAGAAGAATGTATATAGTGCTGCTTTGGGATGGAATGTTCTGTATATATCTGTTAAGTTCACCTGATCTAATTTGTTATTTAAGGCTGTGGTTTCTTCATTGATTTTCTGCCTAGATGATCTATCCATTGACATAAGTGGGGTATTAAAGCCTCCTACTATTACTGTATTGTTGTCTATTTCTCCCTTTAGGTCTTTAATATATGCTTTTTACATTTAGGTGCTAATATGTTGGGTGTACAAATATTATGTCCCCTAGTTGGATTGACCTCTTTATCATTTTGGAATGCCCTTCTTTGTCTCTCATAATATTCTTTGTTTTAAAGTCTGTTTTGCCTGATATAAGTATAGCTACCCCTGCTTTTGTTGTTGTTTTCATTTGCATGGAATATCTTTTTCCACTGATTCATTTTCAGTCTGTGTGTGTCTGTAAATCTGAAGTGAGTCTCTTGTAGACAGTATATAGATGGGTCTTGTTTTTCTTAATCCAGTCATCCACTCCATGTCTTTGATTGGAGAATTTAGTTCATTTACACTTAAAGTAATTATTGATAAGTAGGAACTTATGGCCACTTGTTCATTGTTTGCTGGTTGTTCTGTAGTTCCTCTCTGTTCTCATCTTCTCTTCCTCTCCTCCTTTGTGGTTTGATGACTTTCTTTACTGGTTAGACTTAAATTCCTTTATCTTTTATATATCTACTACAAAATTTTGCCTTGTGTTACCATGAGGCTTACATATAACAACTTATATCTGTAGGAGTCTTAAGTCAATAACAACTTAAGACTGATCTCATTTTAAAGCTCTACATTTTTACTCCATTCCAACCAACCAACTTCTATGTTTTTGATATTACATTTATATTTTTTATCTTGTGTTACTTAATTATTGTAATCAGTTATTTTTACTTTTGTCTTTTAACCTTCATACTAGCTTTAAAATTGATTAATCCTTTTCTGTATTTATCTTTCCAGTGAGATTTATTCTTTCATATATTTTCTTGTTACTAATTAATACAGTTTCTTTTCTGCTTAAAGAAGTCCCACTAACATTTTTATAAGACCAGTTTAGTGGTGATACACTACTTTAGTTTTTGCTTCTCTGGAAAACTCTTTCTCTCTCCTTTAATTCTGAATGATAACACTGTCAGGTAGAGTATTCTTTGTTGGAAGTTTTTGGTGTTTTTTTTTCCTTTTCTTTCAGCACTTTGAATATATAGTGCCATTCCCTCTGGCCTACAAAATTTCTGCTGTAAAATCTGCTGATAGTCTTATGAGGATTCTCTTGTATGTAGCAAGTTGGCTTTCTCTTACTGCTTTTAAGACTCTCTCCTTATCTTTAAGCTTTGACATTTTAAGAAAATGTGTCTTGGTGTGGATCTTTGGGTTCCTCTTATTTGGAACTCTCTAGCCTTCTTGTATCTGATTGCTGTTTTCTTCCTCAATTTAGGGAACTTTTCAGCTATTGTTTCCTCAAACAATTTTTCTGCCCCTTTCTCTCTTCTCCTTCTGGGAGCCCTATAATGTGAATGTTACCCTATTTGATGGTTCCCTAAGTCCTTAAACTATCTTTTTCATTTTTTTCCCCTCATGCTGCTCTGATAGGGAGAATTCCACTGCCTTGTCTTCAGGTTAGCTGATTATTTCTTCTACTTTATTTAGTCTCTTGCTGAACCCTCTAGTGTACTTTTCAGTTGTTATTATATTCTTCAGCTCTGTGACTTCTGATACCTTATGTTTTCCAACTCTTTGTTGAAGTTCTGTGTTCATTTATTCTACTTCCCTGTTTGTTGAGCATCTTCATAATCATTACTTTCAACCCTTTATCACATAAATTACTTATCTCCATTTTATTAAGCCTTTTTTCCCCCTGAGCTGTTATCTTGTAATTTTGTTTGGAACATATTCCTCTGTTGCTTCGTTTTCTTGACTCCCTATGTGCAGTAGATAAAACCACCACTTCTCTCAGCCCTAAAGGAATGGCCTTGTGTAGCAGATGAAAGTTGTTCAACCCTGCCTTAGCCTTTGGTTTCCTCTCAAACCTTTGTGATTGTCCAAGCACCTATTATATTGTTAATAGCTCCCAGTAGTTGAGGGTGTGCCAAGACCTGTCCATGTCCCAGGGGGAGGTTCTCACTACCTAGATTCAGGCTGATAGGAAGCCAGATCCTCAGGCAGCAGCTTTTAATACTATGGAAATATATGGAGTCCTGTGGGACTCCAAGTGTAAACCCTGTTGGCTCCCAGAGCCAGGAAATCTGGAGGTATCCCTGGGTGGCAAAAAAACTGTGGCTCCAGACAAGTGTATAAGCTGTTTTTTGGGAGATACCAGCAAGCTGGAGCAAGGCAGAGGGAGAGCACCAGGATGGCCTGTATCCCTTGAAAATTTTGTAGGCCACTCGCTGTGTGCCAAATTTGAAGCCTGCTTCTCAGGCCAAAGCTCCAGGACAAGTAAAGAGGCCAACTTCACAGAAAGACTGGGGTGAGGGTATATTTCAGTCTGCTCTGTGTGCAGTGTTCTGCCAAGAACCGTCTCTGTGATAGCCACAGTCCTGTGGGGCCCAGGAATGCAAGCCTCCCTGGCCATCACAGCCAGCCAATCAAGGGCCGTCTCTTGGGCAGAAGCTGCAAAAAGTGAGGACCGGATATAAAAACCAGGGTACCAGACATGTGTAAAGCTCCCCTCTGGGAGACACTGGCACTCTGGAGCATGGCAATGGGAGAACTTGAAGATAGTACCCCTCTCCCAGACCTCTGGAAAATATTGACAGCCCCCAGATGTGTGATTAGTCAGAAGCCTGTCCCTCAGGCTGCAGCCATGATTTTTTATAGGCCTGCACAGACTGAACTCCTGGGTCTGTTGCCTCTTGCCGTTCTCTGGGGATGCTAGCTATTTAAGAACTCTTTCTCCATTATTGTCCTGTGGGACCCACTGGCATAGGCCCCATGGTTACCAGAGTCAGGCAGTGTAGAGGTGCTTGCTGGCAGCAGCCACAAAAATTGGGGCACCGGATTTTTCTGGTGACACTGATTCTTATAGTCCTATGGGACGAGGAACACAAGCTACCCTGGCCTCCAGAGCTAGGCGATCAAGAGGTGTTCTCCAGGCAGTGGCCAGCAAAATAAGGGCATCAGATGCATGTGAAAGCTCTCACCCGAGGGGCATTTGTGCTCTGGAGCATGGCAAAGGGAGAGCATGAAAATAGCACTTGCCAGTCTCTGTCCCCGGAATGTCCTAGCCAGCTCCCAGATGTGCATGTCAAAGTAGATGCCTACCCTCAGGAAGGCTGATGCTTCAATTCAAGCAGGTGAGCCTTCTTCCCTTTATGTCTGGGTGTGATATGTTGCTTCTAAGCTGGGCCCTGGGGTTGGTGAGTTTGAGCACACCAGCCTTTTAAGAGCCATTTTTCAGATCACTACAGTTTGGGTCTTGGGACATAAGCCCCAGTGGTTATCAAAATTAGATTGTGGCTTGTCTTTCAGGTGTAGGTCTTAAAAGTTGGGGTGCCTGATGTGGGGTTCCAACCCTTCACTTCTCATCAAGAAGCTCCAGGTTTTGAGTTCTCTTCCAATTCGGGGCCCGCCAGGGGTGGGGTTTATGGTGAGTTTGTGTTCCAGCCTCTCCTGCCCTCTTCGATGTGATTTTCTTGCTTGCCTGATGTGTAGTCATCACTCAGCCAGCCTTTAGGTTTTTTTTAAGAGGAATTTTCCATATGTAGCTGTAGACTCAGTGTGTCTGTGGGAAAAGGTGAGTTCAAGATCTTCAAGATGGGGTTTGCCATCTTGAACTGGAATCTCCACCCTAAACTAAGTTTCTTGACAGTGGAATCATATGCAGGCTCTATTTTTTATTCAAAATACACAGCATAGTGCTTTCCCAGTGGTACACGTAAATAAGGATTGACTACATGAATAATGGAATAAATATGCTCATATATCTGTCAGTGTTGTGAGAAAGGGCATTCATTCATGCTACAGTTACTGAGTGCTTACTATGTACTGATAAGCATTTTTCTATGTCCTGGGGAGGTAGCAATCAACACAAAAAAGTCTGTGTCTTCAGAGAACTCATAGTCTAGTGAAGAAGACAGACAAGGAACAAAATATGTAATGATAAGTAGTGATAAATGCTATGAAGAGAAACCAGGGTAAGAGCACACACAGTACAGCAGCTTAGGGATGCTATTTTAGATCAGGGTAGAGTGGGGAGATATGTAGAAATCTTGAAGGCTGTGACAACTGGATTTTTATGAGTGTGATGGAAAACCTACCAAGTCTTTTCTCTGAAAACACTGTCAATAGGCCATAGGGTAATCAGTTATCTCCTTGGGTCTGTGGCAGAGACTCCTGCTTGTCCCCAGTATTCACCCTCCCCCTCTTGAGTAACAGAGTGGCTGAAGTTTAACTAGTTACATAGACACATAAGTAAAGATGACATATTCAAGGCTCTCTTGCAGGCCATCTAAGGTTTCATCCTAAAAATATTTATACTTGCCTTATAACTGGTTTCTTTAGGTGGTTTAAACCTTTTTTTCTTTTATTTCTTGACTCATTTAGACTAATTTCCTTGCAGGCAGACAAGGGACTACATTTTCTATCCTTTTGAACATGGACAGCCAAACACTTCTGTAAATGGTAGGCATTCAATAAACTTTTCAGCAAATCTGAAAACCAAAATGACTCTTACGAAGGTTCAAAGTATATGAAAACAGTTCTCATTTAAAATGACATACACCAAAGGAATATGAAAATATGCATTTATTAGCAACAAAGTAGCATTTCCCAGAGAGTTTTTTTCCAATTACACACACACACACACACACACACACAATAGCAGGACAAAATTACACTTTTTTTTTTCACTGCACTGCACAGCTTGCAGGATCTTACTTCCCCGACCAGGGATTGAACCCGGGCCCTCGGCAGTGAAAGCGTGGAGTCCTAATCACTGGACCACCAGGGAATTCCCTCAAATTATATTTTTTTACACACTAAAGATTCAAACTCCAAAGAAAATAAGCACATGTCCACAAGACAATTAGAAAGCAGCAAGAAATCTTTCCTTTTACTTAATGCTAAAAACCTTTTAATTTCTCTCCTTACACAAATCAATGAAGATTTTGTCATTAAAAATACTTGCTTGTCACCTTAGGGTTTTAAATATTTTATTCATCAAATCAGACTGTTACTTGAAGTTTTTACAATTTGTATGTAATTAAAATCAACTTTTACAGAAAATATGTGAAGCTTCAAGTGGCTGAGACTAATGCGCTAGACTTACTATTCTTCACAGGTCAACATTCAATGTAAAAACCAAATATTTGTCCACTAGAAAGAAAGAAATGCTTATAAACAAGGTATGGAATAATTATTGGCATATGTAAACTGAAAGGTAGTTTGACCATTTTATTTTCAAACACACCTAATCTTCAAACTTCTTTTTCACACTGATAATCATTTTGCAGAAATAAGATGACTGACACTAACTCAGACAATAAACAAACTACACCAAGCACATATTAGTAAAGATACTTTGGTGGAAAACGAAGTATTAAACAACAAAAACATTTGGTAACAACATCCATTTACTAATATGTTACCAAGGTTTTCAAGGTTTACATGAGTTGTTTGCACTAGTAAAAATGTTATTTTAAAATATTTTCATAGTATATGCATTAGACTTAGTTTAAGAGGGGAAGGCTCTTTTAAAAATTTTATGAAGAAAAAAATAGCTTTTTAAAGAGAAAATGTCCAAGTAAGAGGTTTATTTTTTGACCTAACAAGAATAATTTCAGTGGCTATTTAAGAACATACAAAACCCAAATTCACTGCAATTCTTCAACTTAGTCAAGCTGCCAAGTCAAAAAAATAATTCTGTTATTACCGGCACAGATCCAGTCCATTGTTCAAAGATATGTCCTTGATCTCGTCCGTTATTTTACAATATTTAAAAGAATAGAATTTGTTTTGGCACTGTTAATTAATATAACGCAGAGATAAATAAATGATTTTCTCATCTAATTCTTTCACGTTGAAAGGAAACTAGATTTTCTAAGATAATGGGGTAGGATCAACACTGTAAGTTTTAGGACCTATATAAGCTTAGATTCTAAAAACATTATGGTTTTAAACAAATCAATACTTTTCCTCACTCTTTACATAACACTGAGAAATTTCAAATATAAACTGTAGAAACCAGTATATGAAATCTTAAGAAAAATCTTACTAAAAATAATTAAGAAAATGCTTTAGAAATTTAAGATGTAAAATACAATTGACTTTAAATTAAAAAAAGGAAAAAACCACCAAACCCAAAAAACCTCACCCACATTTTACAGGGTTATTCTTTAAAAACCCTTGGCACTTGATTTTATTCTCTGTCAATCTTTTGGTTGCATTTTTTGCATCATCTAGTGGCCACCTTGTGGCATTTCAAAGAAGTCCTGCTACCATTTTTGAACCCCAATACTTTTCCCTTCTTTGAGATACCAATATAATTATAGTATCAAGTTTCATACAACTTTTTTTAAAGGCTCATAAAATTCCATTTCCTAGTGGAGATAAGGTATCTTTTTAATAGGAAGAAATGAATAGATTTGCCATAAATTATTACTATACATTAGACTAGACATTTCCATATCAAATTTTAAAAATTAAATATAACACTGGGAGAAACTGTGGCTTAAGCTGTAGAGTCATCTTTAGACTCTAAAAGTAGTTAAAACTACTTTGCAAGTAAAGCTCAGGGTTACCATGTCAACTAAACTTCTTGTAATTGATAAGCCCTTCCACTGTACCTTTGATTTGAGTAGCAAATACTTTTAAAAATGGGGACCCAATGACTTATGGTCAGAGTGCTAAGGACTCAAGAAGACTTAATTTTTACTACCAGATGATGTTCCACAAAAAGAAGTTATTATGGTCTCTTTTCATCGACCCATTTGTATCTAATAGTGGGTTTCCAAAAATAACTGATCTTTTAGTCTTAATGAATCTCCTAACTTTTATTCAGTTGAGCCACACTTATATACAGGATTTAACAGAAAAGTCCCAAAGTTCTTGCCCTTTACTTTTATTGAGAAGGCTGAGTGAATGTAATACGGCGCCGCCTCCTTTGGAAAGCCTTTAAATTCCATCTGTTTGGTTCTAGCATATGAGGACCATTGTAGACAAATAACACCGTCATCTTTTCATTATAAGGAAGATTTTGCAGGAGCTGTAAGTGTTAAAACAAACTGTCATATAATGCTTTCCGTTAAGAAGCACAACTTTCCAACCTTACATGTGTATAGTCAAATATATTATTTTATTTGTAATATGAATGAAACTCTTAAGTTCTCAATTCAATATACACCCTGCCCGACTGTGATCCTCATTTGAATTAGCACATCTGAAGCGCGGCCTAAGGAATCATCAACATGCCTTGGGAGCCCTCTATATTCATAGGCCAAATGGGATCATACAACTTCTTAGGTTGACCCTGGAAAAGTGTGTCCTCCAGAATTTTCCTAGGATACTTTCACTCTTTTATCCACAAAACACTTCTCAAGCAACTTCTATGGTGAGGCACTGTGATAGATTGGTAGCCTGAAAAGTGTATAACAGGGAGGTTTGGTTTATAGGCCAACGTGTTTGGTAAACAATAGGGAATTAACAGATCTAGCTACTCCACAGGGTATCTGCTGGAAAAAGAAGACAGATTATACTGTTCAATAAAAAATTGAATTTAAGATAGGATTTCCAATGAAATTTTTCATTGAATACTTTAGTTAAAAAAATCTGATTACATTAATAACTACATCTTTGATTACTGTACATCAGTTTTATAGCTGACCCACAAAAGAAAATTTCCCATTGTAATGGTCCTAGCTTACGGAAAATTCTCTGTGAAGATAATTCTTTTTTTTTCTCCAAAGCTAATATATGAACAGAAGATCATGGGGCACTTAGGACTGCCTCTAGGCCAAGTCAGTGGCAGTGGTGAATTAAAAAAGGGCAGAGCACAGCACCAAAACAGACCTTTCTGGAGAAATGAGAAGGACCAGCGTTCTAGGGTTTATATTCTCCTGTCATTTTTTAGTGCTAAAAGAGGAACTTCTTTAGAGGAAGAATAAGTGCCAAAAGCATGGAGGAAATCTCAGTTCTAGAACATAATACTATGCCTCCTATGTTTCTTCCTCTGATAACAAGGTTTCTGATTAAGTATGTCACTGGAACTTCTCCCCTTTAATAATATAAATATTACTATAATCCTTTTAGTTCTATTTTGGGAGTGTTCCTGCTCATATTTACATACTGGGCCAAAATCTGCTACATGTTTTAGCCACGAGGGACTTCTGAGTATGAGTATTTTTAGGTTACTTATTACCTACCTTTGGTGTAATAAAGAAATACTGAGATGTGTTTTCTTTACAAGCAGTATTTACAACCATTTCAAACACTCTCCGTTCATTGATTGGGTCCATTCCCTAAACAATGACAATAATAATGATTAGATTTAAATCTATTACAAGATACAGTGAAACCCAATAAAAGAATAAGCTATACCTGATTGATTTCATCAACTACTCTGAATGGACATCTATTAAGCTCCTGAAGTGCCATCAAGTATAACATGGTAGAAACGCTTCTTTCACCTCCACTTTGATGATGAGGAGTTAATTCATGTAGTTGAGTGCTACTGCGAAATTTGACTCTAATTCGAATTCCATATTTATCATAGTCTTCCTATAAAACATTTAAAAAGTTGATGAAAGGTGAGAGTTTGGTAATTCCATACAATTTTTTGAAAATAGACTGAATCAATCAATTATAAGAGTAAAGAACTTAAAACCTCATGATATTAGTTTTATCTAAATAGATCCTTGGAGACCTCTAGAGCTTGCAGAGAGTAAGTGGTTCTAATATTTTACTGTTTCAGTTTATTTATAAAATACGGTTTTAAACCATCCTGCTTTATAGAATTGTTCTGAGGATTAAACAAGATAAACCTAGAAGTGCTTGGCACAGTGTCTGGTACAGAGAAAGTATATTATAAATTATATGTTATAACACACCCCTTCCTTCTAACAAGCCCACACTATGTAGATGACAATTCTCATGGCAGGTCTAATATCTTACTAAAACTTAAAGTGAAATGATGTTTGCTATCCTTATGTCTCACACTAAGCAGATAAAGGAGTCATGGGGCAAAGTTCCTAAGGGGAAATAAAGGTGCTACCTTGCTTTATAAGGGAAAAATTTCAACATTTACAAAATTAGAGCCCTAAAATAAGCTTAATGTATTTACCATCAACTAGTCTCAACTATGATCAATACATGACCAATCTTGTTTCATCTATAACTCCACCCACTCCTCTTTCCCAATTATTTTGAAGCACATCCCAGTTCATCTCTTTACACATTTCTTTTTTAATATGTATATTTTTTTGATGTGGACCATTTTTGAAGTCTTTATTGAGTTTGTTACAATATTGCTTCTATTCTATGTTTTGGCTTTTTGGCTGAGAGGCATGTGGGATCTTAGCTCCCCGACCCAGGGACTGAACCCACACCCCCTATACTGTAAGGCAAAGTCTTAACCACTGGACCACCAGGGACGTCCCTCATTACACATTTCTTTTTTTTTCAAATTAATTAATTAATTTATGGCTGTGTTGGGCCTTCGTCTCTGTGCGAGGGCCTTCTCTAGTTGTGGCAAGCTGGGGCCACTCTTCATCACGGTGCACGGGCCTCTCACTATCGCGACCTCTCTTGTTGCGGTGCACAGGCTCCAAACGCGCAGGCTCAGCAGTTGTGGAACACAGGCTCAGCCGCTCTGCGGCATGTGGGATCCTCCCAGACCAGGGCTCGAACCCTTGTCCCCTGCATCGGCAGGCAGACCCTCAACCACAGCGCCACCAGGGAAGCCCCTACACATTTCTTAATGGAAATCTTATTTTACCCACAACTGCAATGCATGAACGTAGCTCAAGAAATTAGTACCAAATTTCTAAATATTTTTATTCTTGTGAACTCAAATTTTTGATCAAAAGGAAACCACTGATACTATACTATGCTTCAGTTATGTTTCCCAATTTGTTTATGACTCTTCATAAACTTGAGTAGTAGATTCAAAAAGCAATGCATTTGCTTACCACACCTGAATAACCATTACTTAGACTGGATATGAAAAGACTTTGTAAGGTATTAGTCACTAATCTCCAATGTCACCAAAAAAAAAGGGTGAGCCTGATGGAATCCCATATATGGCCTTTTCCTTCCTTAGGACAATTTTTTTGTAAGCAAAATTTTCACAGATGTAACTTTAGAGTAAATAAACAATTTACATGTACTTTTAGCATATAATTAAAATTACTTGCCAGGAAACATTTCAAATGCAATTTTACCTCATTTTCTGTATGGAGATCAATTTCACCAGCACACTGCATGGAACTAAAAAAATTGCTAAATTTTTCATTAATTTTTTCTACCAGCTCTTTTAAAGGATTCAGCCACCTTTCTTTTACCTGCAAGTAAAGGCAATATAAAAACACAATTTAAAAAGTGTCCTTGCATTGATACAAAACTTGATATAAAACAAATTTAATATCAATATCAATCTGGTCATGAGAAGATACGCTTCTAAGAAAAAATGCAATGTATCATTTCATTTTGCATTATCCTACATTCCCATATGATTAATGGTAAGCACAGAGAAAAAGAAAACGGTTGAATAATTACCTGTGAAATGTTTTCCCTATATTTATCCAGTTCAACATTCTTTATCTTTAGTTCCTCAGTTAATTGCTCTATTTCTTCTTCTCTTTTTGTGTACTCCTCAACAACCTGGCAGAAAAAAAATCTTTAAGATTAATCTACCAAAGGATAAAATTACAGAAAATTTTGCATCAATTAAGACATTAACTAAAAATGCCACTTTTGTTGCATTGTTTGTATGCATTTAATTTATGTTCTTGTAACATACTGAAAATGCCATTTTTTATCCTTGAAAAAACAGACATTGCAGTATTTCAGGTTAGCCCAAGTATTCTTTTTATAAAGAAAAGGCACAGAACACTGTGTTCCTTAGGAAGAATCTATTTAAAATTCTAATAGATTCAGAATCTGGCATTTAAAAGCACATTGTTCCTGCTGTCTAGCTTATTATTACCAAGAGCTCCAGTACAGAGTGGGAGGCAAGTACTGGAGGGAAGCGTGTGTGTGTGTGTGTGTGTGTGCGCGCGCGCGCGCGCGCGCATGCGGTTTGGGGGAGGGTGTGGTGATGCTGGTGGCTGCAGTGGGCATTAGGGAAAGAGGCATACTGTAGGATTCAGTCCTGTGAAGCAAGAAGCTCTTGATCTTTCTTCAGTTAATAAAGCATCAATTTCATCCAAGGTGTTTGGAAGATCTTGGAAAGCCTAAAGAAGAAAAAAATTGTCCATTATTATAGATAGTACAGTGAAAATAGTTCAAATAGTTAAAAGAAAAATATTCTGCTGAGTTAGTAAGTATCTACTATGTGTTGAACCAGCATGCTAGCACACAATAAGGAATCAAAGGAATTATAAACACGGCTTTTTGCTTTCAAAAAGCTTATACTTAAAGAAAACAAAATGTATATACTTAATAACACAGGCTAACACCTTAAGGCAATGTATTGATGCTGAGTATTAAAATAAGCAGTACATATCATACAGGTTATGGAATTCAGAGAAAGGAAGTATCAGTTCATGCTACAGGAGCTACAAGAGAGTAAGAGAATTCAGGCCCAGATTCCATCTCTGAGCCTTAAAGCAAATGGCTAGGGAAAAGTAAGGCAGAGGGGAGACAGGAGCTTGGAAAAAAGAATGAGCACTGCATACCATGGGGGGTGAGGAGTTGTGTCCATTTGGAATGGTGGGTACTTGCTGAATTGGTAGAATGGGTCCAGAATATGTGGGGCATTGAAAGAGAGCAAGAAGTTAGAACTTTATACTGTACTTGTGAAGAACTACAAAAGCATCCTAAGAATCCAATTACTTTGACAGTAGAATTTCACCACAGTACTATCTTCTGAGACCATGCCACAGAGACAAATTAGAGGAGATACTTTATTGTGGGGCGAGGCAAAGCAGTACATTGCTTTTTCACCACAACCTGCGAAAGTTTATGTGCTACAATGTACAAAATGAATACTGAAACCTTGAAAAAGATCCTAACACACTGCAGTAATCTAATATCTTAACCTTTTTTTCCCTAACCTTTTGGAAAGCAGTTCAACTTCTACAGGCCTTCAGATATTTGTTAAGTATATTTTTCTGAATCTGACCTGTCCATTGAGATTTGAACTCATGTGCCAAACACTTGGTATCTTCATTTGACTCTTTAATAGACAAATTTAAGATGGTAAAACACAAATCTTCAACTTCCTCACCTTCCCCACCAATTTGAGCAAACTGATTTGTCCTTCAATCTTTTCCATCTCAGTAAATGAACAAATTTAGGGGTTCTCTCTCTTACCCTTCAACTCAAATCCATTACCAAGTCCTGCTGGTTCTGTCATTAAAAGATACCTCAAGTCTGTAAACTGCTCTGTGTCTAATGCTTCCACCCTAATCCATGCCACAAAAATCTCTTGGCTGGTCCAAAGCAATAATCTTCTAAATGGTCTTTGTGCTTCCATTCTGGTATCCCTACTTTATTTTCCATACAGCAGTTGGAGTGCTCTTTTACAAACTGAAGTTGTCCTACCTCTATAACTCTTCTATTTAAAATTCTCCAGTGGGTTCCATCTCAAAATAGAGCCCAAGTTCCTTCTATGGTGTATAAGGCCCTACAGGATCTGGCTTCTGCCCCCCTTTCTGCTTGGATTATAAATTGTAGCCCCACTGAGATTCTTTCTATGCTGAAACAGGCCAAGTATACTTCTGCCTCAGGAGCTTTGTATGAGCTATTTCCTCTGCCTGGAATGCTTTTCCCTCAAACCTTCACTTGACTGATTTCTTCTCGTCATTCAAGACTCATCTAAAATAGTATCTTCTCAAAGGAGCCTTCCCTGACACTCTAGCCCCTTACCTTGTTTTATTCTTCTTCTTAGTACCTCTTGCTATCCCCGACATAATCTGTTTGCTTTTTGATTTGTCTTCCCCACCCTCCAGACTAGAATATAAATTTCAAGAGAGAAGAAAGTATGTGTGTTTTGTTCAGTGCATGTGATATATAGAAGGTAATCAATACATTTTTAATGAACACATGAACTATGCTCTAATCTTGTTTCTTTCAAAAACAGTACCATGTATCAAGGACAGAATCATGCTACTTTCTGAAAGAAAAAGTTAGTACAGATATTGTACTAATATTTACTTATTTTATAAACACAATGTATTCTGGAGAAGGTTTATTTTTAGAAACAATAGCCCCTCAATTTTCTTACAAATATCTACTAAATTCCTATTATGTATCCAAACAGATCCATTCTCCCTAGTTTCTGGGTCTGACAGCATAAAGCACAGTCTTTGAGGATATGAAAATTATAATCCAAATAAGTTTTATTTCCAGTTCTATTTATATCTTTAGCAGACATTTCATTATCTACTGAAATAGATAACATTTGAAATTTAAAAAGCCACACAAATACCAGATACTTAAAATTTTATTTCTAATTTTACTTTGACATTATTCTGAGAGAGTAAGTATGTAGGCAAGGTATTATTCCTACCTGTCAGATAAAGCTTTGGGTCACAGGGCTACCTAATTAATGGTGGAACTTGGAAGAAAGGGCAGCATCTTCTCATTTTACTAACTGAATGATATGTCAGAATATAAAATACACATAATGTAAAGAAAGAAAGGCTCTTTTTTTCCTTTCCTTAGCAACAGATGTCAGCCATAAAGATTCAGCTCCCACTCAACTGTAAATAAACACCCTAATTTCCATGAAAACATTTTCATTTTGCCTTCGTTTGTCTAAATATCACCTCTCTTTACTGTTCCTTATATATCAATTACTGGTACTATGTTTCCATGAAAAGCTATAACCCGTCTCCTGACCCTACCTATTAAAAGGGTGCTTGGGGAAAAAGCTTTTTACTGGAAGAATGAATGTTATGGCATTAATAATTTTGCAAAATAATACCCATGTTTTAACAACTTTAGTATGAAGCACTAAGACTGACTGGTGTCCAAGTCTGAGTATAGTGAAGAAAATTCGTTGAGCAAAATTACTTTACATACATACTCAGTTTAAAAATGGTGGCGGGGGGGTGGGGGGGAACTCATATTTTATTTTATGGCACATTGTGTTTTTCATGGCCCAGTACAATGCCTAACACACTTTAAGCTTACAAATAGCTGTCTTAAATATGTTAGCTTGTAGCGTTATATACTTTTTATACTTACTGTCTGATATTCTTGAGGAATGGTCTGCTCTGCACCCAGGTTACATACTTGCCTGGCTCTCTTCATAAGTTCCCTGCATTTCTGCAATAATCTCTGTCTACTTTCATCCAACTCGATGAAATGTTGCTAATACAAGAAAAAGAAATATTTTGAAAATTTGTGTGTTACTGTTAAGTCAGAGGGCTATTTTATTAAACCACCACATTATATCAAATATATTATTGAATTTTGATTGTGATAAGCAACATTATATCAAATATATTATTGAATTTTGATTGTGATAAGCAAATCATCCGAAAACATATCTCAAACCATGACTGATTTTATTGTAAAGGTTAAATTTGAACTTAAACTTCACAATATATCGGGACATTAATAATATGGCATTTCTTGAATCTGTAAGAGCTCTGAACTTTAAATTTAACTGCCTTTTTCTGAAAGTTTAATTTAGCTATGTATAATTATACTCTAATAAAATTTGATATATACAGTATGTAGGCTTCATATCCAAATACTCAGCATTCAAATGTAAGCAGAACCTTTAAAGGCTTTTATTTAAAACATTAAATTTAAAACATTTAAAACATTTAAATAATGTTTGATAGTTTTCCAAGCACCTTTCAGGTAGCTATCATTTATTCATGGACCCATTCGTTCCTTCACCAAATAATTACTGAGAACCTATCAAATGTCAGTATTTTATTATGCACTGAGCATATAGAAAGGTGAATAAGAAGGAAGATACACAAAGTCATTAATTACCATACAAGAAACAGCTACTATTTACTGAAAGCTTATGTGCTAGGTGCTTCACAGCACTGTATAGTATTATTATCCCCATTTTGCACATTAAAAAAGAAAGAGGAATTACACAAAAGAGTATGTGTGTGGTGCGGGCAAGGGATGGAGGAAGGTCAGAGTGGCCACAGAAGCTATGACAAGTGAATGATCTTAAAGGACAAATAAGAAATTACTAAGAGGGAGCAGCAGAAGGTATTCCCAGGATAGGTGATTTAAAACGTACAGGCCATGGAAGCCTCCAGGGCCTGCTTATTTAGGGAACAAGAAATTCAACGTGGCTGGAGAAGAGGTAAGCATGTAAAAGATGAGAGTGGCAAGGTGGGCAACAGCCAGGTGGCAAAAGTTTCCTGTGTAACAAGAAGGGCATTGTGGAGGACATGGAAGCAACCTCAAGAAGGGCATTGTGGAGGACATGGAAGCAACCTAAGTGTTCATTGTCGGATGAATGGATAAAGATGTGGCACATGTATACAATGGAATATTACTCAGCCATAAAAAGAAACGAAACTGAGTTATTTGTAGTGAGGTGGATGGACCTAGAGTCTGTCATACAGAGTGAAGTAATAAGTCAGAAAGAGAAAAACAAATACCGTATGCTAACACATATATATAGAATCTAAAAAAAAAAAAAATGGTCATGAAGAACCTAGGGGCAGGACAGGAATAAAGACACAGATGTAGAGAATGGACTTGAGGACACAGGGAGGGGGAAGGGTAAGCTGGGACGACGTCTGAGAGTGGCATGGACATATATACACTACCAAATGTAAAATAGATAGCTAGTGGGAAGCAGCCGCATAGCACAGGGAGATCAGCTCGGTGCTTTGTGCCCACCTAGAAGGGTGGGATAGGGAGGGTGGGAGGGAGGGAGACGCAAGAGGGAAGAGATATGGGGATATATGTATATGTATAGCTGATTCACTTTGTTATACAGCAGAAACTAACACACCATTGTAAAGCAATTATACTCCAATGACGATGTTAAAAAAAAAAAAAGAGAAACAAAGGGCATCATGGGATGCCTTCTGTGTGCCAACCATGGTTATCACCCCCATCCTATACAGTAATTAATATAATCCTCATTACCATCTTAAAGAAATGTATTATCTCCTTTTTTATATGTGGTTCGGAGATAATTAAGTTGGAAATAGCAAATGATTAGGTTCCTGAAAAAGAAAACAGGTCTTAGCTTGCTCTTTCCATCAAACTTTGGTCTGCACAAAAAGTACCAGAGCAGGGGTGAGATAGAGGGAAGATTTGTTAAACAGTATTGATGTCCCAGCCACAAGCCAGATCTAACAATTAAGACCTCTGGGGCCAAGGCTTGGACATTTGCATTATTAATAATGTCCTGAGGTAATTTTTATGCACACAAGTTTGACAGCAAAGAAAGTAAACTAAGACAAAAGTTAGTAAAAGTATATATATACTGGATTGATCTGAAAATGCAAGCAAGCCTTTATACTGATCAGTTAGTATCAATATAAAGTTTCCTTGAAGAGAAATAAAAGAAAATTAAAGACTCCCAGTCACCCTTACTCTGCTCTCTAGAGCCTATTATACTCAGGCAAATGCAAAACATGGGACAGCTAGACAGAACTAAACACTCCTAAAGTCTTCTCTTCCTACTTCCTATTCCTCTGGATCTTGCTAAAGTGAAGTATTAGAACATTATGGGAAAGAAATATTCCCAAGCTGAATATCTGGGGCTCTGGGCTTAGGACAAAGCTCATTCAATAGTTTCCTTCTGTTTGGTGGCATATGTCTGATAAAATCTTTATCAGAGGGCTTCCCTGGTGCTGCAGTGGTTAAGAATCCACCTGCCAATGCAGGGGACACGGGTTCGAACCCTGGTCCGGGAAGATCCCACATGCCGCAGAGCAACTAAGCCCACGCGCCACGTCTACTAAGCCTGCGCTCTAAAGCCCGTGAGCCACAACTGCTGAGCCTGCAAGCCACAACTACTGAAGCCCTTGTGCCTAGAGCCCGGGCTTCGCAACAAGAGGAGCCACCACAGTGAGAAGCCCGTGGACCACAACGAAGAGTAGCCCCTGCTCGCCGCAATGAGAGAAAAGCCTGCGCGCAGCAATGAAGACCCAATGCAGCCAAAAAAAAAAAAAAAAAGACAATGTTGTTTCTATACATACATGTTTGTGACACTATTCACATAGCACCTGTTCTTCCCCCACCCCATAATTCTTACTGAGTTTTTCTGCGGGGGTGGGGTGCAGAACGAGTCCAATTATATAAGATAACACTGTAAATTCAGGCTAGTGAAAAGGGCTTATTTACATTTCTTCATAGAATCTAGCCTTTAACAGTTAAAAGGCCACAGAAACAGTTCATCTGTGTAAAACATAAGGGGAGAAAATGGCAAAGTTACAAAATATCCCCCACCAACATCTCAGAAAAGATTACTCTGTAGGTACATACCCTGAAAGAAATGAATAAGTATTATCTTTTCTCTGAAAATCTTTTGATAAAGTTCAATTGTTATGGAAGTTGTACAGAAATACCTTGACACTAAACAAGAAAAACCTTCTCTAAGAGGGCCCTCTAGTGGAAAAAATCAGATTGTTCACAGAATTTCTTACTGAATATATGTTGCACATAAACTTAACACAGTAAATATTCTACTTAATTTATTAAAATAAGAGTGAAACAAAATGAAAGCCATTTTGGTGTGAAAGGAATTAAACTACGTTCTAGGTAGCATAAACTTATGCTTAAAAACTGGCTGTAGATCAAAACATTTCTTCCTCAATTTTCCTTTCATATAAAGAAAAGAATCAAACTTCATTCCAATTTAATTGATTTCAAATTCAAATGTTAACCATAAGTTTTCGTTCATATTGGACTGCATATATATTTTAGAAATATGAAAAGTAATCTTTAAGCAGCTTAAAATTTTAACGTCGAATTTGAAGTTTAGAAATCAGTGGTCTTCACTGACATTTTAATATACAAGCTTACAAATTCTATTTCAATCTAATAGTAAACAGTGACAATAATACTATTTACTTGGGAAAGGATTTTTTCCCGCCAAATACATATATCTCATTTAAATTGGAAAAAAAAAGTCCTCTGAAGTTGTTTTTTGTGGAAGAGTAGTAAGCAGGCAGGCAGAGGAAAGAACATTAGATGAAAGCACAGAATTTCTAAATTTAGTATTAGGGTAAATAAATTTAACAACTTCCAATTCTTGTAATATTAAACCTGATGTAAATCTATACTTTTTAAGGAAATATGGGCTTCATGCTAGGCACACACTAAGCATCATGATATATATTATTGAATTTACTATCACAAATATCCCTGCAAGTTAGGTACCATAATACCTATGGCTGAAGACAGTAGGCTTGGAGTGGTTAGGAACGCTGCCCAAAGTAAAAGACCAAGTAACCTGTACATCCATCTGTCCCCTCCATATCTGGATTCAGTCAGCTTATTAACTTGTCATAAAAATATTCCAGAAGGTAATGACATACCTCTGGAGATGTTTTATGGGTCTGGAACCCTTTTTCCCCTATTTGCCTTCCAATAATTTGAGGAAGTTTGAAACTCAGTGGTGGTTAGTTATCCCTATCCCTAAGTTCCTTCACGAATACAATCCCTACTGAATTTTTGTGTCAGCCTTCTTTTGTGAACTTGTTTTCATGATCAGGGTAAAAGACAAACCCTGAAGTGGCAGTAATGGTTCCTTAGTACAACCTGCAGTGTGTCCAAAGGAGGAGGGGAGGGAGGGAAGGAAGGAAGGAAATGATTTCTTTTTGTTTCAAATGCAGTAGGACAGCAGAAGAATAGGTAAGAGCAAATATGGGTAAGTGACAGCAAACATGAGAAGGAAAAAGAGCAAATGAAAGAGAAAATGAACTACCAAACACTTATTCTCTGTATCTTCTACTCATCATTCTTGACTGTTTAAAATGTGTGGTTGGTGACTATGATCAGTCAGTAACAAAACTTATCAAAACATAGTGTAAGAAATAAAAGAACCTTACAAAAGGGTTGGTAAGACAATTAAGAATAAAAAGCACTTAATAACTTTCAGATCAACATATAAAAAAGGGAAACCATGCTGCAAAATATTGTTGAGGAAATACAAAATAAAGCCAGGGGTAGTATCAAATAAGATTAGTATGGAAAAACCTGACAAGATGTGTGTGTGAGTATGGTAAGAGGCTGAGAACTGAGTGGGTATTATTTCCAGGTAACAAAATCTAGAGTGACACGCAGCTAATCAGATTATTTCTCTAGACAGTATAATGTGGCCATCTTTGTAAAAAATTAGTGACTCAAAGATTGAAAACAAAACCTCCTCACAA